TATATTCAGCTAGTTGTCTTTTGTGAACATATCTGAAGTTGCACTTTAGCTTTTGTATAACTATATTTTGTTGTAACCTTTTGTGTTGTAGATGGACGGACTGACCCTGTTTTGGATGATGTGGGCCAAGCTTTCAAATTAATGGGAGTGAATCTACATGAACTGGAAGATTACATTCATAATATTGAACCAGTCACATTCCCCCAGCAGATCCCAGCTTTTCCTGTCAGCAAAAATAATGTGCTGCAGTTCCCTCCTCCCGGAAGCAAAGATATTGAGGATCGAAAGGAATACATACCTGATTACTTACCACTCATCATCTCATCACAGGAAGGTACAGTGTCGGCTCAGCTTTCTCTTATTTTATTTTTTGCTGGACTCCTAATGGCAGAATTATTTGGGTGCAGCAAGTTTTTCCCTGATCGTCTTCCAGAACAGCAACATGAGAAATGATTGGTTCCTCACCCCTCCACCCTTCTTGTCCTGTGTTTTTTAGATTGTGTTTCCCACTGTCCAGGAACAGCATAAGTGTTTGTTGTGTTACTTCCTAACCAGTTGGCTATTGGGTCAGTGGTCCTTTTCTAGGTTGTACAAAAAGCGCTCCCAGATCTGAATGATGAGGCTGTGCAGGTGGAGCCACACACAGTTGTACTGAATTTAAATGAAGGCATTAGGCTGCATATGGAAGCACCCTGCGATTCAGGTGGGGGCAATTTGGGTTTTGGGGATGTTGTAGGCGACCTTTTCTTGATGGTGCACCCTAAATAAGGATTCTACATGGAACTTGGTCTAAAAGGTCTTTTGGAGAGCATTAATACGGCATTGTCTTGCTGTCTGTTCCCGTGATCTTTGGTCTAGTCGAGATCTTTGGTCTCCTGCAGGATCCTCTGCCTGCTTTCATCACTGCACCTATGTCTCTACTTTTGTCCTGGAGTGGTAGTAGGTGCTGACTGATGGAACCACAGGGCATGGTGGTGGACCATGCATCCAGCACACTCGAGTGTATAGTGCCAGAGGCTGTAGCAGAAGCAGTGAAGATCTGAGGAACAGGCACCAGGGCAGAAAAATATTACTGTTATTTAAGTTTTTGTAATTTTATATTTCTTTACTCATTTTCAGCATGGTGACCGTGTCACTTTGTTGAAGATATACACACTGTACAGGGGTGTGGAAATAAAAAAACAAATAAAAAACTAGTTGTCCAAGGACTAAATCGGGATCCCGATCTACTTGTCCCTCATAAAAATCTTCTTGTTCTGATACAAAAAATTATTTCAACCAAAACTGTATTTAGCCATGCTAAGAAGTGCTTCTCATTGGTCAGTGCTGTCAGGTGAGTGCGCTGACCAATGGGTGCTCACAATTTGTGAGCGTAATTCAGAATACATGGCACAGGGCTGCACTGGATGGCAGTATGTACACCCGTACTGGTGGACAAGAAGGACCGTTCGCCGCGGGGGAGAAGGGGCCAGATTTGGGATAGTGAATTTACCCTTTAACCACCCACCCGTCCAGTGGCCGTACCTAAACGGCCAGACAGGAGCCTTGTAGATGCAGGTGGGTGTTTTTAAGACGTCCTTCCTTGCCCCCACTCGTGCGTGCGCCTGCCCAGCACGCACACAATTGGGAAAACTACCTTAAATGTAAACAGCCAGCAATGGCTGTTTAGATACAAGCATTCCGGCGTCTGTAGAGACGACCAGTCGCTTTTATTTTGTGTGGGCGTCTTCCACCCCCGCCTCTCCCTCTGACCTCTCCGGTGTCAGAATGCAGGAAGTGATGTATATTACATCACTTCTGCATTCAGCTGTCTTTCCTGGCTGCAGAAGCTGGGAAAGCAGATCTCTGCTTCATCAGCTTCTCTGGGGGTCTCTAGGTGACATTAGGGGTCTTGGAGACCCCTAATGTCTCAAAGAGGACCTGTTGCGTAAATTTGCCATCACATAGGGGGCACACAATGCCATATGCATGCTTTTATTCACATGCAGATGGTGGGGGCAGTGGGGTTAGTTTTTTATTTACTTTATTTTTTTTTGGTTGTAAAAATTTTATTGATCATTTTATTTTTAATTCAATTCTTTTTTTATATTTTTGTTTCCATTTTTTTAATTTTTATTTTTTTTAACTTAGGGGCTAACATGCCCATGTGTAATGGCTTTTGGGGGGTGACAGGTTCTCTTTATTGAACCTGTCACCTCCAATACCTAAGGAGCACAGCACTGTGACCGGAAGCTTGCCATTGCACAGCGTTCCTGTGCCAGTGCTCACACAGAGCGGAGAACAGATGTTCTCTGCTCTGCTCCCCGCCCTCCATCCTGATGTAATTTGCTGTGGCCCTGGGTTCTCCAGAAGAGCAGGGGACCCCAAAAACCACAGAAGCAGAGGGTGGTAACAAGGAGAGAGGTGGTGTTTCGGGAATATACAAACCATGGAGGGGGCAGCGACAATAGGGCTGCTTACAAGTGATCTTGTATGAATGTACAGCTGATCCAGATCATCTGTACAAAACGTCTCCCCCTCTACATTTTGGGCAAGTAGGGCTAAATGTAGAGAAAAATTACCTGCCCAGCGCCCGGAACTGTATGCCCCGGGCGTCGGGCGATAGGAATCCCACACCCCTGCTGTAGGAGATTGGCTGAAACCTCCTCCCAGATGACAGTCTGCATGGATGATCGTGTCACCTGTTTTATTTGCTGTCCAAGGTCCTGACTCTAAAAATGTAATAACTCCTAGCCTCATACCTTGATGTACATAGTGCAGGGGTAACCGGTATGGCTTTTCACCACGTTTGAGAACTTTTATTGTGTTTTTTTTTTTTTTTTTTTTTTTTTTTTTTTTTTTTTTTTTTTTTTTTTTTTTTTT